ATATATAATGACTATTATGAATAGTAATATACATTTATAGGAAACACACTAAGTCCACATCCACATTCAGTCCACCAGGCTCCAATGTCTGTAGCCTGTGGATCCAGTATGTCTCTCTTTGTGACAACTTTTTAACCCTATCTACCCCTCTCCAATCAGCTAATACCCTTTCAATACCAATACATTTTAAACCAGTGAAGAAAAATAGTGGACATTGATTGCAATGTACTGGAATAGAATGAGTAGCCAAGTTCTTTTTGATATTATTTATATGTTCCAGAAATCGTACTTTCAAAAGCCTCTTTGTCCTGCCTACATATTGCTTGCCGCACGGGCACTGCAGTAAATAAACTACATGGTCCGTGCGGCAACTGATTCCAGATTTTATCTGAAATACTTCACCTGTAATGAAACTGGAAAAAGTATCTGTTTTTTCAAGATTTACAGTATGGCAAGCTTTACAAGAGTTGCAACCTCTAAAGGAATTATTATCAACAGGTTTTCGATTAGCCTCAAGATTTTTTATAGCATAACTAGGTGCCAAAGTATTCTTAAAATTCTGATTTTTTTCTAAAAATAAGTTTAGGTTGATCCGGTAAAATAGGATTTAGTACAGGATCCTGTTGGAGAATCGACCGATGTTTTTGTAAACTCCTCCTAATTTTAGTATGGTTTATACAATACTGAGTTCTAAAGGCAGTTATATTCTCCTGATAGGGTTTGGCACGGGGCTTGTCCATCAGATAATTCCCCCTGTCGGTCTGTAAAGCATACGAATTTCCCTATCAAGTGTATTCTTCTTATAACCTCTTTCCACCAATTTGTTCTTTATATGGTTAGATTGTGTTATAAAGTCCTGAACTTGTGAGCAATTCCTTCTCACCCTGGCAAATTGTCCCTTAGCTATCCCTCTAAGCCAGGGACGGTGGTGGCAACTTTGCCGATGAACATACCCATTCCCATCACTTGGTTTAAAGAAACACTTTGTTTTAATCTGATTATTCTCGCATATCAGAGACAAATCTAAAAAATTTATTTCTTTTTGATTCCATGTGGAGGTAAACTTTAAATTATATTCATTTTGACTCAAATAATTCTCAAATGATTGAAATAAAGAAAAAGACCCCTTC